TTAAAATCCATTAGAAGGGGCCAAGGATTTAGCTCAGCAGCATAGGTACCTGCCTGGAGGTCATGGTTTGGTCCCTAGTACTCAAAAAAAAATCCATTAGAAAATGATTTACCAAAATTTTCCTCTAATATCTGTGGATGTAATATTCTTATTGTGGTAAAATATATGTAGCACATAATTGTCCACCTTTTCCATTTTAAATATATAATTGAGTGGCCTTACATGAATTCCCAGGCAACCACCATGAATGTATGGTCCAGAGAGTTTCATCACTGTGTTAGGTGGCTTGTGGTCACTGCAACAAAATACAGAGATAAACAGTTTAAACTGGAGGTGGCCTGTAATAAAATGCAGAAATAAGCAACTTAAATATATGTGTGCCTATAATCCCAGCACTCTGGGAGGCTGAGGCAGACAGTTTGCAAGTTCAAGGACAATTTGAGAAGCCACTAACTTGAGAATTAGAAAGACTCTTTCTGGGACTGGGGATTTAGCTCAGTGGCATAAGCGCCTGCCTTGCAAGCAGGCAGTCGTGAGTTCGATCCCTGGTACCGATTAAAAGGAAAAAGACAAAAAAAAAGAAAGACCCTTTCTTGAAAATGAATAGAGGTTTGTAGAGTGGCTCCATGTGAAGACCCTAGACTCAACCCCCAGTTTTAACAAAAATTTATAAAGGAATGCACATTGATTTTGCTTACGGCTTCAGAAGTCAAAAACTTGGCTCTGACACGTCTGGGCTGTGAGAGGACAACACAGCATAAGAACATGGTGGCAGCCTCTTCACTTCTGGTATGCAGGAAGCACAGGGACAGGGGAAGGGCGAAGGTCCCAGTGTCTCCTTGAGGCCACATTGCCAACAACCCAACTTCCTTCCCATAAATCCCACCCCCAAACACATCCCAATAGCACAACCCTGGGGACCAAGACTTTAATGATGGGTCTTTGAGAAGCATTTGAAATCACCCTAAATTGAACCCTTATACCCATTAGTTGTCACTGCCCATCAGCCCTCCCCTCTGCTGCCAACAAACTGATCTATTTTCTGTCTCCACAGATTTGGCTATTTAGGATATTCCATTTTTAAAAATCTGTGGGCTGTGGAGTCTCGCATCGCTTACCTAGAGCTCTGTGTTAAAGTTTCATCCATGTTGTGTTCGGGTCTTCATGAACTTTGTTGTTGCGTAATATTCCACTGTATGGATATACCACATTTTGTTTACCCATTCATCCACTGGTGAACCTTTGGGTCATTTCCACCTTCTGGTTGTTGTGAATAGTGATGAACCCTCATATGTGAACACTTTTTTTCTCTTAGGGTAGATACCTAGAAGTGAGATTTCTGCATCGTAGGGTAATTCTATGTCTACCTTGTTGAGGAATGACCGAACTGTTGTCCACAAACATTCCCATCAGCAATGTATAAAGACTCCAGTTTCACCACATGTATGCCAACAGGAATTTTCCATCCTAGAGGGTGGAAAGTTATCTCACTGTGGTTCTGATTTGCACTTCTCTAGTGATGGTGAACACTTTTTCATGTACTTCTTTGTCTGAGTAGATATTCTGTGTAGAAATTTCTAACCAAGTGTCTGCCTGTTTTTTAATGTTCCCATCTTTCTGTCATTGACTTGTAGTGGTTCTTTATATACAACAATGCAATATTTAACCTGGATCGCCAACCTGACCAACCCAAGAGACACTTCCGAGATTAGTAGTAAAGCATACTTCTGAGAGTGTCTGGGTGGGTCACAGAGGGACTCTATCTGGTCCCTAACTCCTTCCTCTCTGACCGTGTCCTCTACTTTGCTTTCTGGTGGTCATGAACTGAGCAGCATGGCTCCACCTCAGCCTTCTGCCATGATGTTTTTGCCTTCGTGCAACTTACCAGGGATTGAACCCCCTGAAACCATAAGCCGTGTCAGAGCCGGCTTCTCATTTGTGGGTATCAGGTATTTTGCCTCATTAATGAGAAAGCTAACCAATACTGGGCCATTCAATGGGTTTATGCCTTGTAAATAGTCTCTTCCCTTTTGTGAGTTGCCTTTTCACGCTCTTATAATGTCTTCTGCTGCACACAAATCTTCAGTTTTGATGACAGCACAGTTCTGACGACTAAACAGCTCGATGTGTTGCCTGTAGCAGACACTTGGACTTGTTGAAATGAAGGCAGAGGATGCATGAGCGAGGCAGATGCCAGCAGTTACAATTACTACTCAAGGAGATGACTCGGGATGGGGACAGAGATGTGGGAGGAGGCGGGTGCCCCACAAAGCACAGCACATGGGTAAGAGGTGCCTGACGACGTCCTGTGTGTACCACTGGTGAATATCTCACAGCTCCTGGGACATTTTTACTACTTTATCTCACATGATCCCCTTGAGCCTTCTGTAGAATGGACCCAGCCGGTCTTAGGATCTTTGTTATAGGAGACATTTGAAGAATTTTCCTAAATGAATCAATATTGCATGCCAAGTAAAGCTATATTGCTTTAAGGTGCTACATTTGACCAAAATGTTTTAAGCCTTCCTTCCTACCTTCTTGTTTATAATATATTTCACTATTAAAAAGAAATAAATGAGGCCAGGTGTGAAAATCCTAGCCTATAAGCCCAGTTCCTTGGGAGGCTGAGTCAAGAGGATCTCAAGTTAATTGTTTCCAAATGAACACACTTATAGAAGCAGCTGGGGTCCTCTGTGCTTTTAAAATTAAGCTCCCCCCAAGGTACCTGCCGACTGTCAGTGGGTTCAGCACTGCCGAGCTGCACCAAGCTGGGTATGCTGAGGGTTTTGTCTCTGCCAAGAAAATCACTCGGCTGTCACTCAGAGTCTCTGAACTCAGTTCCTGTGACACCATGAGGCTGTGTGTGACCATCGTCGTGTTGGGTGCCACAGAGGGGAGGGGCACTCGCAGAGCTGGGACTCACATGCAGCCCCCATGGACAGGACTCAGCAGGTCTTCAGAGATGACGCTGCAGTGAGCTCTGAGTCAAGTGCGACGTGACCTTCAGGACTTTCCGTGAAATGTGACTCGGTGTCTGGCAGCCAGCAGGAGGCCCTGGTGATTACATGCTGGGTGTGTCACTCTCGGGCTCCGCGGGTTCTGCACCTGTGTCATCACATGACAGACCCGAACATGGCCTTTGGAGTCTGGGTGCTTCCCTGTCCCCAAAGATTATGAAAGGGGTTTCCAGCAGCCCAGTCCTGAGAGCCCACTCCTGGGGTGCGTGGAGCTCTGCTCTCACCTTGTGACCCGTGTCCTGGCATTGCCTGTCGTTCCTCAGAACCTCTGTCCCTTTCTACTCCTGGTACTGTGCACATGGACGGCATCTGGGATTGGGGCGGAATACGGGGTCCCTGCTGGTCACTCAGCAGCCGGCTGACTGTGTCATCGGAGCTCACATCCTCTTCAGTGGGTGCAAGAGGTGCCACCCAGTCCCCAGAGTGACCACGTTCTACCCTGCATCTCAGGCACTTTCCGCTCTCATCCCTGGTGACAGCGACAGGGGAACAGCAGCTTGGCCTAACTTAGCACCAACCACAGCTTTGATGACAAGGAGGCTCAGGTCATTTCCAGAATTCAACTTTATATCACTGGCTGTCCAGAGGTCAGGTGGGGTCCAGAGGATTGATTAGTCCTATAGATGTCCCCAGGAACAGAAGGTGCCACTCCAAGGGGACCGAAGGGCAGAGAGCTTTCGGCTGAGCTGGGGAGAGAATTCCCACAGAACTCACAAAATAGCTCGCGAGCTGAGACTCAGAGCCCTCCGGCAGCCAGCATGGGCCAGCATCAGTGTTTGCATTTTCCTAGCTGTTGCATGAGGTTTATTGTTGGAATCCAGAAGAAGACACCAACTGTGGTGGGCACGGAGGTGATGCCTTTGAGCATAGCGTTCTGAACAGCTGAGGCCGGAGAATCAAAACTTCCAGCCCAGCCAGCCGTACTGCTCAGTGTGAAGGCCCAAGCTCCAACACCAGTGCGAGGGGTAAAATATAAGGTAATGAAGAGTGGGATTTAAATACGTGCAATCCCATCCCTCTCTGAATCTTTTTTTTTTTTTTTTTTTGTGGAACCAGGGATCGAACTCACAACCTTGTGCTTGCCAAGTAGGTGCTTATGCTGCTGAGCTAAGTCCCCAGCCTCTCCCTCTCTGAATCTTGTAAAACCGGCATCACAGTGGCGCTCTGCCTGCCTGCAGGAAGGTTTTAAGCTGAGGGCATCTGTTGTTCTAGTTCTGTGGTCCTGTTCCAGTTCACACCCGTGCAGAAGCGTGATATTTTTTAAAAATATCCAGAAGGGCCCTGGCCCCTCTAAAATTCAGCTGCATCTTGTAATTCTTTAGTCCCTTCTCTTTTCAGCACTTCCTTTAAAAAAAATAATCCCGAGTGTGGAAAGCACCCCGTCTATCCATCTGGATTCCTACTGGCCGCCAGGTCCTAGAGGAACCCCCGCTGTGTGCACCTGTGTGCCTGCATGGGGCGTCTCCTGGCGGAACTGTGACAGGAATGTAGTGCCCCGTCCTCCTGGGATGGGGAATCTTCCTAGCCTTCCTCCAGAGTACAGACAAGAGGGTCCCCATCACTGAGCTTGCTGGGGGACCTATGGCCTCTCCCCATGCACCTACATTTGTCCCCAAGAATAACTCTGCTACCTCAAAGTCACCTCCACCACCTTTTTTCTCTGTAATGCACGATAGCCCTGGAGCCCGAGGTCTTCCTGTCTTCTCTGCACTGAGGTCCATGCACCCTTCCTTGGTCTGCATGGAGCGAATCTATAGCAGGCAGCAGCCACAGGGCAGAGGAAGTGGTAGCATCTGCCCTGGCCACGCCCAGCCTCCGAGATATGTCCCCCAGAGGTCTGCTCTATATTTCCAACATCCTAGCTGACCTGACAGTCCTGAAGTGTAGGCACCTATGTGCTAGTTTGAGTTTTGAGGTGGACTTTGCTGCAAATTAAGATTTGAAAACCTAGTTCGTCTCTCTTTTGCCTTTAAGTTTCCCAGCATGAAGATCAATTAACATAAAGAAAGTGGAGAGAAATTATCTTTTCCAAATCCCTGCAGGCCACAGGGTCCTCTAAAGCTTTGTTTGAGTTTTGGGTTTGGCTTTTTGAGCCGGTCTCGCTATGCAGTTCAGGCTGGTCTCGAACTCGAAGAGATCCTCCTGCCTCGACCGCCCGAGTGCACTGGGATTGCAGATGTCTGGCACCACACCTATTCTTCTGATTCAGTTGTTCATCTTTAAATTGGGGAGTGTTGTCCTACCTGCAGCTTAGGGGATAAAAAGACAAAATAAAATAATAATCAGAAGGTAATCTGCACTCCACCTGCCATAGGGAAAACACGTGACAAATGGGAGGTATTATTTGCTAATTAAAACGTAGTTCTTGGAGGACAAAAATGTCTTTGAATTCTCCGTAGCACCTAATCTGCTTCGTCAACAGCTGTCTGGTAGATTGCTAGAGGCTCAATGACTACTTGTTGATTGAGTAACCATCTAAATAGAACCCGGGACTGGCAAGCCTCTGTTGCTGTGAGTTTAAACTCATTCCATTTTAGTCACTAGACTTTGAAATAATCTTTCTTTCCACAGATTGGGTTATGTAATGCTACCACAATGTGATATTAGTATAGACAACGTCTTTTGATTTAATCTTTTGTTCAGAATATGGCCTCCCTGCTGGCACACTTGCATAAAGATCCTTTCCTATAGATTGCTTGTTTTACTTCCCTTTTTTTTTTTAATAGGATCTTGCTTAGCCCAGGCTGCCATCTAACTCATAGTGATCCTCCTGCCTCAGCCTCCTGAGTGCTGGGATTATAGCTGTACTTAAAGGATCATTTTAACTTTTATTAGAAATGAAATTGACTTTTTCAAAAATAAATCTAAATGTGAAATTCCAGAACCTACCCACTGGGTCCTATCGGAGGTTTAACCACAGTAAATTAGGGCACTGCACTAACCATGGAGATGATCTTCTGTCATCCTGGGAGCCAAGGCTGGACTTCAGTGAGATACTGCTGAAGGCCAGGGCCTTGGCAGGCTACGTCAGCCAGCCAGGCATCCGTCTCCATGTCCAGCTGCCCCAAGGCCATTTCTGTCCCTTTTGCAGGCAGGGCCAGGCAAATCTCATCCCCATCCTCTGGATGACACTCCTGGTCCATCTGGCTGCTGGTCACATAGGCACTAACTTTTCCTGCACTTGGCTCTGCTCAGAAGTTTACCTTGGCCTCTGCCTGCAGGACAACCCACTGTGGACCTTCTTCCCGTGTGCTTGCTACAGAGATTTGGTCCCATATCTGTGGATCAGTCCCAGCAGAGAAGAGGAGGACACTGACCTTAGGACATTTGCAGGGGAACTGGAAGAAGGGGCCATTTTCAACCAGAGCTGGTGCTGCACACCTGTAATCCCAGCCCCTGGGAGGCTGAGGCAGGAGGATCACCATGTATCTGAGCCAGCCTGGGCTACATAGCAAGACCCTGTCTCAAAAACAAACAAACAAACAAATGCTTTGGTGAGGAGGATACAGCATCTTCCTGGGCTGTCACTCTTGCTGGGCCCCAAAGATGAATGAGGGAGAGAGAGCCTGACTGGAGGTGGAGCCTGGTACAGGCAATCCCCAAAAGTAGAAAGTCCTTCAGACGCACAGCAGCCCAGAGGTACCACAAACACACAGCCCCAGACCCAGGCTCTGCCTCCCTGCCTTGGTCTCCCACAGCTCCTGTCGGCTGAAGACACAAAGGGGCTTTGACAGACGTGGACACCTAGCTGGACACTCGAGGTCCCACAGGAAACGTGAGGCCTGGGCCTCCACTGTTTCAGCTTTCTCCATGGTATGGCCAGGTCCATTCCTGGTCTACCAGGAATCCGCAGGAGAAGGGCTAGGCATCCATTTCCCTCCAGAAATGACTAGGCATCCCTGGGGGAAAGTGGCTGCTCCATCAGGCTATGCAGTGTTCCAGCACTGGTGACACTGGAAACCGAGCACCTTGAAGCAGGGCAGAGGGATGAGCAAGGGGCTCCCAGGGAACAGGGCTACGGATGACCACAACACTAAGGCTCTTAGGCCTTGGAGGACCTGCCAGCCTCATACTGGCCAGCTCCGCACCAGGCCCATGGTGCTCCCCCAACAGCTGTGAGTTTGGTAGAAGTGATGGGAGACAGGTGAAAACCAGAGCTTTCCCCTCCCCCCAGTACTGAGACTGACTTCAGGGCCTTTGCGCTGAGCTACATCTCCAGCCCTCCTTTCTAATTGATTTTATTATTACTTTAAAAGAAAGTCTCACTGAGCCACTGCTTGCATAGGCTGGGCTTGGACTTGAAGCCTCCTGCCTCAGCCTCCCAGAGGGCTGGGAAGACAGAGAAAGCGTGCTCCATCATGACCAGTGACCAGGCAAGGGGCATGTGGCCCAGCGTATGGGCGGACATGTGAGAAGGCGTGTAAGGCAAGCGAGTTGCTCTGCCAGCCCATCTCTGCCTCTACATCTTCATCTCATTTGATTGGGCCGTGACCCCAGCCCTGGAGGGCTGCCCCAGAATGAAAAGCTCCCCTCCTGCAAAGCACCCCTCTGCTGCTGCTGTTGCCACTGTGTTTGTGTGTGTTAGCTGCAAACTCACAGTTTTCTGTTGTGTTTCATCAAATCAGAGGTTTTCCCAGGGCACCATGCAAATTCAAAATCCCAGATCTGGTTCTGCCATCGGCTTAGGACCTTGGCAAAGACACATCATCATCCCAAGCCTCAGTTTCCCTGGCTGTCCCAGGCACGGTGGATCCAGGTCCCCTCAGAAATCTCTCAGAGGGCGGTCCTTGCATAATTCTCAGCAAGCCCAGAGCTCAAGTTACACATTTGCCTAAGACCTTCTGCTGAATTCCGAGGCAACCCCACCCCTCCTCCGGAAGGATCTTATTGCTGCCTGGGGCGGGGCACGAGCCAGCGTGGACTCAGCGATTTACAGCCCTGGCACTTGTGGCTTCTCACCAGCAGCAGCCGGAGCCTTCTGCCCACGGAGCCCCAGAGTGCACGCATCAAAATAGTTGTGTGATGTCATGTCAGAATGGGAATGTGCCCAGCCACTCGGGCCAGGAATTGTCCGCAGGCGTGGTTTCCTTTTACAGCCTTTAAAGAGGCGCCTAGCGACCTGCACATGACTGGCGAGCTTGTGCTTCCTCTGCCTCCTTAGTCTCCCCTCTTTTGAAGTTTAAGGAAGGAAAGAGAACCTGAGTGTATCCACCAGCCGCTGACCTTAGCTACGCAAACAAACCCCCTGTGAAGTTCTGTATGTGCCTCCAGTGGCTTCCTGCCTACTTAAGGGACAGCGAGAGAGACGTGCAGAAGCCTGTCAGGGCTGCTGGGCCAGAAGCCTTGGGAACACTGGAGTGAGACTGTAGCGAGGTCCCCTGCTAACACTGGGTCCCTGGGGAGGACACCTGCACCCACAGGCTGTGGGTACCCTGTGCTGCCAGCTGATGCCAGGCTCCCACCAGTGACCTGCCTGCCACCTTGGGCTGCTGCCGCTCTTTGAGTCCTGACATGTTCACCTGTCATTGCTTCTTGGGCCACAACTACTGATGAAGCGCTTTGGAAGTCTCCGGGGCAGCAAGAAACCTAAGGACCAAAACCGGAGCACCCAGAGGCGCCAGTCAGAGCCCCATGGCCTGTTCGGTAGGACACTGCTCTTTCTCTGTCCCTTTGGGGTCTGCGCTGTCAAGGTCCCTGGGTGGCACCTTTGCCAGCCACTTCCCCTTGGCTCTGGGTGGAACTGGGGTGGGGGGCAGTGGTTCAAGGGGGACTAGACTGCCACTGTCAAGTGCCCTTCGCTGTCCCCCACTCGGGCTCACTGAGGATTGGTAATCACTGAGTGGTCATTCATTTAGTAAAACCAGTGGCTGAGGGCCTGAGAATGGACCTAAAGGGTCAATTTCTGTTGTTAAAGATTAAACATGCAAGTGAGCAAATTATTGGTGAGGTGAACATGAAGGGCTTCCGCCTGTGTCCTGAGGGAGCAGTCTGCTAAATCAGGGGTTCGGGCGGGACAACAGCTGCCACATTTGCCAGCCTGAGGAGCAAACTTGCTCTGTGGGCTTCTGGCTTCTGGGAGCTGTTGTGGGAGGCTCCGGGGTTGGCACCGGTGTGGCTGGCATGGGCAGAGAAGCATACGGGCTTTGGCATCCCCGGGGACCTGCAGGGAGCCACACAGGTAGATGCTAGCACTTTTGTGGCTTCCTGGGGTCCTGGAAGACCCCCACCCCTGGCCTGAGGTGGGAGAAGTCATGTTTTAAGACAGGGGAGCCTGTCACCAGGGTCACTGTGTGCACAGTGTGGGCTGTGGCTTAGCAGCTTGGTTCCAAAGCAGTGGGTGACACTGCCCCAGAGTCAGGGAAGGCAGGGGTGCACCACTCCCTGCTCGGGGACATGGTCAGTGGCAAAAAGTGTCCTATATTCATCTAGTGGGAAGATGACTCTGGAAAAACTTGAGGGCAGGAGGGGAAAACTGGAATGGTCAGAGAAGGGAAATCTGGAATGTGCCCTCCTCTGGTGACTTGGGACTGGGCATCACTGTGGAGTGAGGGCCCAATCAGGCCAAGCCCCGGGTGCTGGGGAACCCAGGGAGAAAGAGCATGGTTTTGGACTCGGGAAGCCTCAAGTGTGTGCTGGGGTGAATTTCCAGCAGAGCAGGACTGGACATTCTTCAGGGACTGTCTGAGAAGATGACTTGTAAGTAATGAGGAAATAAACCCTCATTAACCGTAGAATTAAATCCGGACCTATTGTTGAACTGGAAATCTGACCTTGGCAATGAGGGCAGTGGACAGACCTGTTATTAAAAGCCTGCTGGGTGCCAGACTGTGGGTTTGCCCTGGTGTCTATGAACGGCTGTTGTCCTGTCTCCTGAGATCAAAAATAATATTTGCATCTCTCCTGAGCTGCAGAGGTGCTTGTGTACCAATGCCATCTCTGACCACAGGGCGGGGATGTCCAGAGCCCAGAGCCCTCTCCTGGGACCTGGGAGCAAGTGGAAACCTGCCTGTGCCCGTCGCAGGGGATGAGCTGCTCTAGGAGGCTGGAGTGTGGGAAGCTGGGTGGATTCAGTGTCTGACTTTCCCTTTGTTAGTGCCAAGGTGAGAGAGACCAAGAGCCAGGACAAACAAGAGGTGTCAGCCCCTCCCCAGGGCTGGGCTCGGAACTGCTGAGCGCTGGAGAAACAACCAGGAAATGCAGGCACAGTCTGCCCTCCTGGCTTGGTCTGGCTCACCCATTCACCCACCTGAGGCCCCAGGTGAAGGGTCACTCCAGAAACACCTGTGACCTCCCCTGCAACCTCATCTCCAAGAGATGTTTTATCTGGGGTTCAAACCTGAAGGCCCACGTTATTTTCTGTAAATAAATCATTGGTTTGGCTTGAACATACCCCACTCCAGAGCCAGGAATTCCCTTCCAGCAGTGCCCTCACCTCAGACAATTATTCCTACCCGCGCATGCCACACACTCGCAAGTACCTGCCTGTGTCTGCACACATGCACAGACTCACACTTGTGTGGTCAAGACACACACATGCATGCACAAGTGTCCATAGAGCTGTGCCCAGAGCCTGACGAATGTCCCAAACAACTAGAAGAAAAGAGCAGGTTCATGGTGCCTAAGCCACTGGCACTGGCCTGGGAGTGGCCTTTCCATTGAGAGAGACATGGCTGTCACTGGGAATTGTGACACTTGAGCCTCAGACAGACAGACAGACAGACACACACACACACACACACATACCCACTTCACAGCCACCACTCAGCCCTGGCTGAGAGCCAGGCAGGGCCAGCCACGGTGTGCTGCGATGCTTCTTCTGCCCGGGGTCCCCGTGCCCCACGTGGCAGCTGAGATGATTTCAGCTTAAATGGCTCCGCCATCCCCTCTGGTGGAGAAAGACCCAGGGTGTGACAGCATGAGTGTGCACACATGCAGCAGTGGTGACACCAGTATAAGGAAAGGTCGGGAGGACCTGCTGGTCAGACACAGGACAGTCAGCTACTGCAGGGGAGGTAGAGGTCTCCCGAGGCCCTTTTCAGGGGTGGGCACCGTGGACAGGAATCAGATGGTGGTTCTGGGGATGTACTTGGGGGTCTGAGGAAAAAAGCACCTGGGTGCCCCTAGCAGGGCCATCAGAGCTCTTGTCCCTGAGAATGCAGTGAAACCCTTGGCTGTGTGTGACCCTAGGGGAGTGGAGGGTGCTGTATGCCTCAAGCAGAGACCTCGCCTGAGCAGCAGAGTCTGTTGGCTATGCTTCGCTGTCCCCTGGTCACCTTTCCAGGGTGGGGCACACTGCACCAGCAAGAGCAGAGCGCCCTGTGCAGGGCTCATGGCTTCGTGAGAGAAGACAGACAAGTGAGGGTTGTCCCTGAATCACAATAAAACACACAAAACACGAAATTACCACCACCACCATTTTTATGGGTGTGCTGCACTGACATTAGACACATTTACCTGGCTGAGTAGCCATGGCCGCCCTCCCACAGCTGAGATTTGTCCTTTTGTGACTGGCTTGTTCTGACGCACTGTTTCAGGTGCCACTGACACCAGAGAGGCAGCACAAAAGGCAGGCTCGCTGGGCCACCACACAGTGGTTGCACTTGGGGCTTTCTGATGGCAGACAGGCAGGAAGGAGGGAGCAGAGGTAGCTCAGTGGGACCTCAGTTGGGGCCAGGTGCGATGATCAGTTTATACCGCTATGAGGGCCACTCTGGCTTGAACCTGCGGGAGATAAAGCCCCTGGGGTTCTGAGTGTAGACCCTGCCTTGCCTGGCCGGTCACCCTATGTCCCTGCAGGTGCCCAGTCTTTCTGCTGAATCCACCCTCCTACCCTGGAAGACTGAGTGGGGACCCTAGGGACTTCAGACACTGTCCTGGGGCTGGAATCAAACACAAAGGACTTGGGAGCAGCTGCCTCCTCCACCCACTACCCTGAGCCAGGCCCAGAAACTGGGCCCTGCGACCTGTCCCATGTGGGGCCATCTCCAAGTGGACAGAAGCCAAGAGCTGGCCAGAACCTCTGGATTGATTTCTCCCTGAGGACCTAGAGCAGAGGGCTCTGCAGCTGTCACCTACACGGGTGGCAGGGAGCACAGCAGCCCAGGTGCATCTCCCCGTGATTCAGTTACCTGCTCTGCACCCAGGACAGTGACACCCCGTGGGCTCGAGGGGATGTGGGTGCTCTGAGCCTTTCCTTCTTTTAGTCTCATCCCAGTTCCCAGAGTGCCATCCTGGCCCCTGCACCATGCCAGTCGGGGAGATCAAATCAGGCCAAGGAAACCATCGCCAGGCCTGAATAGCAAGGGGACAGCCTGTGACAGGAGCACCCCATGACAGCCTATGATGGGGGCCTTGAGCACTCAGACTTCGGGGCAGCAGGGGCTCTCTCTGGGAGGGCTGGATCCTGAGTGGAGAATCTATGCTTGGTGTTCATCCCCTCGGTGGCTGAGCTGCTGGGGGGCAGAGCCTGGAAGAACCAGCAGAGGAAATGGAAAGGAAAATTCAGGAAAGAGGATGAATGTGAATGGCAGTGGCTTTGGATGGAAGCAGAGACGCCTCCTGGTGACAGGGCTGGGGTCAGATGCCCCTTGGCTGTGGGGCAGCCCTGCTCCTGTCACCGATGTCCCCTCCAAGGCAGGACCTGGCCCAGGCTGTCTTGTGAGCCCTGGTGCCCCAGATGAGCCCCTGGCTTCCAGCTCCTGGGTGAGGCCGAGAGCATAGTTCATTTGGAGCACAGCAGGAACTCTCTCCTCTGCAGTAATTTGTCTTGTAATGATCAGGAAGAAAAAATACCAAGTCCAAATACTCTGCAGAACAAATCAACAAGGAACACTGCCCAGGGCGGGTGACTGCATCCTTGGCCCAGAGTCTCAGCCCCATCGCCGCACTCTCCGAGCTAGGATCTCAGGATGGGGTGGGGCCCAGGTTGGGGCCCCAAGAGGAAGCAGCTCCCCTCTGCCAGGCCCCTGGCCTGGCACTCTGGGGCCAGAGGCACCCATGTGATTGGGGCAC